TTAGGTGTGAAATTGGGAGAAAGTGCAGAATCGCCAACTGCTTGCCGCGTTTTTAAGAACTGCACATACACGGTATCATACATGTACACGTCGACCTATTTTGACTTAAAAAAAATCATCCCAGAATTGCACAAAAATGGCATTGCGCACACTCTTGACTTTATCCCTGTACACTGCTAATGTGCTAACTAGTAACCTTTATCGCCTTACCAAAATGTCACCAAACTACCTGTTACCATATTCCAAAGATTAGCAATTTTATTAAGTGAAAATAGGTCGACACAAAGCCAAAATAACAATCCAAAGAATTGCACAAACTTGGTATCCATTGACAGCCAAAAATCGCCAAGGGGCACCCGTAAATATATTTTTACCGTAAGTACCTTATTTGGTTTAACCACCACCACCATTTCATTGCATTTGTTTCGTTTTATCTAATTTTTTTAATAAAAAAAATTGCCAAATTGGTTAATCTTTGAATTATGGTAACTTGGCGATTTTTTGGTGAAAATTTGGCGACCAACCCTGCTACAGCAACCTGCTAGTTTTGTTTTGGACGTAATTTTGTTTTCACGAAGTAAAGGCATTTTTTTTTTTTTTTACTCAACACTTTTTTCCAACAATCTGCTAGCCGGATTACGCTTATGCTAGAACTTTTATGGAACAAAAGTGCTTAATCATGATGAAGTTTAGGTGCGAAATTGGGAGAAAGTGCAGAATCGCAAACTGCTTGCCGCGTTTTTAAGAATTCCACATACACGGTAATGTACACGTTGACCTAGTTTCACTTAAAACACATCCCAGAATTGCACAAAAATGGCATTGCGCACACTCTTAACTTTATCCATGTACACTGCTAAAGTCCTAGCTAGTAACCTAGGTAAGTTAATTGCCATTTATGTTTTTAAATCGCACTTTGAAAATGTGATTAAAAAATTTGGGACTTGTTTTCAATGGAACAGTAGATAGTACTTTCAAATGTACGGGATACTGGCATCAAGAAAAGTACGACTTAAACTGGATAAACACTAGCTGTGCAACATAAAAGATTAGCACAAGTAATTTAAGTTTTTTACATCTTGATAAATAATGAGCAACCTGTTCCTTCAAATTTCTGCCAGAATGACTGTGCAAATTTGGCAAAATCACCACCAAGTTTCACGGTCAGTGGAATTTTGCAGTTGAATATGACGTTTCATCTTGAATCGAATGATGCTGATAAACTGTCGAATGTTTTTCTATCGACAATCTCACATCATTTAAATGTAGGGATTTAATATTCAAGCTAATAACAAATAAAATGACCTTTATAATTTTAGGCTGGAAATTTTGTCTTCCATTAAGATGGCTTTTCTACCAGGAACTGCAGTTTCTATACACTTCTCTCAAGCTTTCCAGAGCTGCAAGTATTGCCGAACAGGTGAAGGCGCATTCCAGAAAGAGCTCCATTTCAGGGCAGTTTCTACAAGTTCTACAGATATGGATGCTATGGAAGTTTTTATGGATATGATTAACTTAAACACCTCTATAATTTTATTTCAAGTAATCTCATATTATTATAACAAATTAAATTAGTGGTACTTGTTGATAACAAACCTAAATACAACCCATTTTTCTTTAGGAAATCCATCTCAAATGTAATCCCGCAATAGCCGATGACCCCCGTGTACTATTTCTGTCAATAATTGCCTTACTTACATAGTACAATTTACTGATAACATACAGTTTCAAATTAATTTAAATCACATTTTTAAGGCATCTCATTTTAACATTAAGATCCAGTGGCATATCAAATCTTTAGCAGGCCCAAGAAAAATTTTGGTTGATCTTTACAATATGGTAACTGGTAGTTTGGCGACATTTTGGAGGCGATAAAGGTTTACTACCTGGTACTTTGGTAATAATGTGAGCAGTACTCAGTTCCGATTACGCATTATTTTGTGTGAGGGAAATGAGAGATCATGGGATATGTCATGTGATATTAATGGACGAATTACGGTTCTTTAATCGGAAAAGGGGGGAAATCGGGAAAAAATTTGGAAATTTTGTATTTGGCTTTATTCTGTGTTGTGTGAAACAGTGTTCGTGAATTTTTGGATCCCATGGCCGTAACTAAAGTGAATTTGAAATGGGTATTTATGTATGTATTAATTCAATGTATGTGCTCATTTATATTTTAAGTAGTGTTTTTGAATTTAATTATATTTTAATTAAATGATAGTTATTTTGTGAATTTTATGTTTGTAGGAATTTGGTATACGTTTTAGTTGAAGTAAACGTGCATGGAAATTATTCAAATATCTGACAATAAGTATTTGTAATAGTTGGGGTATGAATTCGTTGGTGACATGTACAATGTAATAGATGATTTAGAGGTAAAAGGTTTTGGATATTTTATTTATTTTATATGTGGAAATGTTCATATTTAGGAAGGGTAAATACTTTTCCGCGATCAGGTAATTTCATATATGTTCTTTTTACCGGGTTTAAAGATTGAGAAAACTGTCATGTATTTTCATGAAATTTTTCTAATTTATGAGAAAAAAGCAGTGTACATGGATATAGTGAAGAGTGTGCGCAATGCCATTTTTGTGCAATTCTGGGATATTTTTTTTAAGTAAAAATAAGTCGACGTGTACATGGTTAAGTGATATTTTAATTAAATGATAGTTATTTTGTGAATTTTATGTTTGTAGGAATTTGGTACACGTTTAAGTTGAAGTAAACGTGCATGGAAATAATTTAAATATCTGACAATAAGTATTTGTAATGGTTGGGGTATGAATTCGTTGGTGACGTGTATAATGTAACAGATGATTTAGAGGTAAAAGTTTTTGGATATTTTATTTATTTTATATGTGGAAATGTTCATATTTAGAAAGGGTAAATACTTTTCCGCGATCAGGTAATTTCATATATGTTCTTTTTACCGGGTTTAAAGATTGAGAAAATTGTTATGTATTTTCGTAAAATTTTTCTAATTTATGAGAAAAAAGCAGTGTACATGGATATAGTGAAGAGTGTGCGCAATGCCATTTTTTTGCAATTCTGGGATGTTTTTTTAAGTAAAAATAAGTCGACGTGTACATGGTTTATGTGTATGTGTTATTTTGAAAAACGCGTAAGGAATATGGTATTGTGCACTTTTTCCCAATTTTGCAGTGAATATTTGTCATGATTAAGCAGTTTTGTTAGATAAAATTTCTAGCATAAGTGTAATTCGGGTAGTAGATTGTTGGAAGAAGTGTTCAGTAGATAAAAAGAAAAGAAACATGTCTTTACTTCGTGAAGACAAAATGGCGGCGGGAAAAAAAAAATAGAGGGTTGCTGTAGGAGAGTTGGTCGCCAAATTTTCGCCAAAAAAACGCCAAGTTACCATAATGTAAAGATCAACCAAAACTTTATATTCAGGATCTATTTATAAGATGAAATCTTAAAGTCACTTAAAATTTTTGTTTAGGGAAACAAACACCAATATAAACACTACAGCCTTTTTTTATATATAAAATATTTAAACATTGTAACTTGTTGTTTTAACTTTCCATTTCCTTTTTTGAAATCTTGAATTAATGTTAACAGCTCATACCTATTATCCTTGTAAAATTCTGATAATAAAACAAATTGCACAATAAATGAAAATATGTTTACAATACTTGTTGGAATAGCTGCAAATGGAGAGTGAACAGGGAACATACATATACAGTATCCATATTTGGATTTATCACATACATATATCTCAGGAATATAACTCGACACAATATGCAGCACCAAATCCAGTTTTAATACTTTATCAATTGCTATAACCTTTTTTGTGTTATATAAAAGTAACAATTCTATATTATTAAAGATTAATTAATTTTTTATTTTTTAAATTAATTTTTTAACTTGAAATGGATGCTTCCGAATTATGGGCCTTTAAAATTTGTCTATTGTTTAGCCTGGTAGTGTTAAGAACAGGTTAGGTTACATTATTTGAATATAGAAAGCCATGAGGGCTAGCTGCCTAATGGAAAGGCTTTCTGATGGAAAATGACTTTAATTTACATTACGTGGGAAAAACCAACATGCAACAGCTCTTGGCTCTCATGTAGAATTGGGTGCCCCTTCAATTGGCGACAAATTTTGTCCAATTTTGGTGATGAAACTCCCTTTCTGGTTACCATGATAGTTTAGCTTCCTGATTTTTTTAAGTGAAAATTAATAGATATGTACATGGACAAAGTCAAGGCAGTCAGCAATGCTGAGTTCGTGCAATTCTCCGACGTTTTTTTCTAAGTGAAAATAGATCGATGTGTACATGGACACCGAGATTGTGCGATTTTTCGACTTCTCATTTAGATTTTGTGGAGCAGGCAACTAGAAATTGTGCCTTTCTGGTGCCGATCTTGGCGCCAAAAAACAAGGGACACCCAGCTGTAAACATTTTCCCAGTTAGTTTGTGCGAGACTGAACTAAAACCAGGTCAAGCTACCAGTATTCAGCGGTGTTAAGTACTTGGCCACTGTTGGAAACCTCTGTTAAGAACAAATCAAATATAAAAAATATATTCAGGTTTAATTCAAATTAATTTACTGCCCTCCATTTGAAATAGGTAAATGCACATAACTAAATTGCTAATAAATAATTTTTTTAAAAAAATTCGACAATATTGCGATATACATTGTCTCCATATGCACAAGACTTGTTTATTTCTTTGATCCTTTTAGAAGTCTTTAATATTAAAGCCATTATTACATGTTAAATATTTAAAAAAATTACAACTGCTCATTTCATGTTAACTGCAGAAGGAAAAAAATGTAATTAATGCCTTCTTTAAGAAAGATCATTAAACGAAAAAATACATCAGAACAACACTTCATTTTAACACTGTATTATCGATGACAGATATATAAAATAAATTATACACAATTAAATTTACACTAATAAAATGTACTGGGTTTGAGTTTTCTAAAACATAGCAATATTATAACTCATATAAAAGGGAATCAAAGCGTTCTTACCTCGACGGGATTTTTTTCAAAATTTTTGTTTCCATTAATTACAGATAAAGCCGTTCTTTTCAGTGGCTCTCCGTTCAGATATCTTTTCTGTCGCACAGCAGCTAAAGCCAATTTTTCATCAGGGATGTTTTCAGCCATAATATCCTCAGATGATTTGAGAGATATTACCCAGAAAACTACTAGGTTAGAACTTAAAATATAAGTAATAATTACTTGTTTACGGAATTAAAGTTATAATCTCATCGCAAATACTTTAATGTGATAGTTACATGCACTCAAAACAATCAGCACATACATTAGTTATCCATAACAAATGTACTGAAATAGATCAGCTTAGCATACGTACACAAGAGGTGTGAGGCGTGAGCCCACTACGTTTGTCTACATTCAAATTTGACTTCATTCAAAACTTAACCAATAGAACGCTAGGAGAAAGGCCAACCTGTGATGTGTTGCCAAACTGTAAACGTGTAATTTGCTCTTTTATTCAGAGCTTGCCCCAAATATTACGAATGTTATCCTTTTTGTTGTACATAAGGCTCCTGTAAACCTGGTTTATAGGAGCCTTAGTTGTACATTGTATGAATTAAGCCCCTCGTTTAGGCATTAAGAATCAACAAAAAATACACTAAAGACTGTGAAGGTCTTAGATTTTGTTTTTTTAGATGCAGATTACTAATGTCACTTGAACTTTCGTACTAACCATTTACAAATTAAATTTCTTGTAAATTTTTATGTCTGTTACACCAGCTCGACAGACTGCCCTTTTCTGTTGCAGAGGTCTGAAACTAGATATCTAGTTGGCCTTGCTGAACTCGGTGCTAAGTGATTTTTAATATCCGCGTAAATTTATTCATCTTAAAACGTTTTTAGAATGTCATTGTTAACAGCCTCGAATATATTACTTTTGGATGGGGGTTGGATCCCTGAATCCGAATAGCTTGGTGATGCACCACTATTATCCCACATAAGACATTTGTAAAAGGCACTTATATTATATATGCATAATTAATTAAAATCCATCATAAATACCCAACGCAAGAGAATTAATGAATATAGCCACCATATTGCATAAAAAGAATTTAGTAATATATATAAATCAATATTAAGCTTACCATATTTCCTGCAAATAAAAGCGAAATACTTGGGTGGTATATACAGGACGAAGTTTAATCGTGTCCAAGGAAAAACGTAGGGAGCTTCCCGTTATTCTTCACTAATTGGACTCCTTCAAAAATTTAGGCATTCTTAGAGGTGAACTATATTGTAGGGGATGAATACGACTCTACTATGCCTACCTCTCTGTGACGAAGTATCTTACGTATCGCATTCGATTTCTTCGTAGTGACCCTGCTGCTGACTCACTTGTTCATCGAGAATAGCGGGTAATCGTTCGTCAGCAAAAGCATCATTTACTACCAATGTTGCATTTGATTTTGATGAGATGCCGGAGCAGGAGTACTATCAGTAGTGCGTAGCTAGAACCTGCCTCATCTGTAGGTCTAGCGACATAGTTCAACAGAGCTACTTTCTGCAACTCAATAAAAACTTCTTCAGCGGCATTTCCTTACGTTTAGCAGCACCAGACTGAAACGTTAGCTTCATTTTTATAACAGGGAGGACCCGAGGACAAAATCAAAATCGGGTTGTCCGCAAATCAGTGCTGACTAATCACTTACAGTCATACAACTCTGAACGCGCATACAACAAATAATGCAGATGGGGACGACCTCACCAATCAAACCATACGCGGAAGTGTAGCTTTGTGAAATGGTTTAAAATGGACTTCGATGCTGGTATTTAGGCTGGCTTACAGCTAAAAGTTAGCTCTTTCCAGCTCTTCATAGATTCCTAGGAAGAGCATGACGAAACTGAGGAACCTGAGTGAAATTTTCTTGAAGGAAAGCTCGCAATATAGAAGATAAGAGGCAACATTATCGTCTGTGGAATGCAACATCTGGTGAATACTGGAAAGCATGTGGCAGAGAGTGCGTCATCGCAGGGTCACAAAGGTGGTAAAAGTGTCTGGAGCTGGTGGGAGAAAACATATCCAGGGCAGGATAATAAAATAAGTCAGCAAATATGTATAAGCTGCAAAATTTCAAAATAAGGCTGTGTAAAAAAATATATACAAGTTCATATCTGAGGCAGAAAAAATAAAATAAGTCCATACTTGTTGAATTCCAACAACACAAGCAGCGCAGTAGGTTGGAGGCAGTTAAAAATACGTATAAAATTAAAATACACTACTAAAAATATAAGAATGGATGCAAAAATGTGGCCAAATACTGTGCAAGTAGAAAAAGTCTATTTCAGGTGAAGAGTGAGAAAACTAATTAACGACAAACGTCTGAGATCAAACTCTCGACGTCCAGAACTGTGGCGAAAATCCTATGACATTATTGATCGGTTGTAGATTTTCTAAAGCTATCTCGTAGAAATTCATTAAATACAGTTAATAAAGCATTGTAGTCAACTAGTTATTTTGGATTCTGAGCTGGTGAGCTGCAAAATACCTGATAATAAGGTCATCTATAAGAATCTCATAATTAAGGTGCTCCGAGAAATTGGCTACAGGACAGGCCGCAGATTTGCTAAAAAATGCGTCGTTTAGTTTGTTAAGGTAATCTTGAACGTATTTAGTTTTTAAGTCCCTATGTAGAGAATTGTTCCTGACAAAGTATGGGGCTCCAGTAATGATGTGTAGAAATGTATTTTGAATGACTTGAAGATGTTTGATGTCATTAGCTGTGGCATGGGCCCAGGCAGGAGAAGCATAGGTAAATATAGGAGGTATGATGGACATGTAAATTCTTCTTTTTCTTTGTAGACCGACTTTTGAGGTACTTGAAAGGAGGGAATTAATCTTGAACATGATTTGTATTGTTTTTCCTTTAACTTACCTGATATGGTTTGACCATGGTATGGTCCGGATATGGTTTCAGATACATTGCTTTGGCTATTTATAGATGAAGGATCCGCTGTGCGCCGACGCCATGGCAAACACTTCGTTATCTGCCCTCCCACTGGCACTGGGGCTCCGGCTCCCGCCCACGTAATGAGAGACGCTCGTGCTCGGGCCTCCTAGGGCCCCTAACGGTAAAAAAATGGCCCTTTGGCAGTCGGGGTCCTAGGTGAGCGCCTGTTTGGCCTATGTCTAAGAACGCCTTGGTCAGCATTAAACTAAATTGTTAGACCAGCGCTACTACTTATCTTTGAAATTACTGTTAAATTATTCTTAAGTTCCCATCGCAAGTAGTCGGTGCTATTGTAAGCACGAAGTAAGTGCATTTGTGTTAAGAGTTTGATGAAGTCGCCTGGTTTGCTAGTAAGATCACTCTAACCATATAATAGCAAAGAATGTTAGATCTTACAATCATAACAGGGCCGGCCCCAGAGCTGTTGCAAATGTTGCTGTCGCGCAATGTGGCAAAACTTGTGGAATTAAAAAAGCATGGAACAACAAAATTTAAGGATGGCAAAATTTTTGGAACTTACAGGAAGCCATAGGCAGCAGAATTTTGGAGATGAAAAGAATTTTAGAATTTTGAAAGTCACTGGAAGCAGAATTTAGAACCCTTAGGCACCAAGAGGCAAAACGCTTATCACCGGTCCTGGTCCTCATAGTCCATGACGCCGTTTTGCATCACAATTTAGTGGAAGCTTCATTATCTTACTGCTTAATTTTTATTTCTCTTTTGGCCATATGTTTTAAGTGACAATGAAGGTTCTTCCAATAGATGCTGTATTTTTGAGAAAGAATAGGCTTTACAATATTGAAAGGGAGCAAAATGAAAATCTAAGCGTCTTTCATTTGAGAAAACTTCTGTTATGCGTCTCCCAGGTACGGGAATGCCATCTTTATTCTAGACGTTCAGCTACCTCAGAATTTTTGCAATTCTATAAATGAAGATAGCAATATTAATTAAAAAATTAAACTATATAGGTATACTATATATATTGATATACGATTGCAGGTTATTAACAATAATTAATAATTAGCTAAAAAACATGATCATATATGTTACTGAAAATGTAACAAAGTTGCTATTTTTATCAAAACTACGGGACAACCAGGACATCTCGAAAAAACTGCACTGTTCCGTTAGGAATGGTGTGTCTGGTCAGCCTAAACATAATTCATTATTTCTTACACCCACTGAATTTCTTCCTTGCTTCTGAAAATTTTGTATAAGTAATTTAATTTAAATCTTATTTACAATATAAAACACTATTCTTATTGCCCTTTATTACTAAATGCTTTTTTTTTAAATTTTCACACTTAAAACCATGGCGCTTGTAGGATAAAATATATCTGAATTGTAAATAGACCTTTCCATATTAATTAACATGATAGGGGCGCACTTGAATAAGCTTACAGGAAAGAGAAAGAGGGACAAAGCTTAAATTGCGCGGAAGCCCAGCTCAGCACTTCTTAGTTTTGGGGATAAAGCAAAATTCTAACCTGAGCATACTCTATAAGTAGGCTTTGGCACTTCTTATATGTAATTGGACAACAAATTCAACAGAAATTATTGACCTTGAAAATATTGTTCTTAATAATAAAATTATGCTAAAAATCGATTCAAACTTCTGATGCGTGCACCTCTTTCCTTGGGAAATGAAACCATGTTCGGAGGTCGAGACTTCTAAAGAATGAAAAGCCTTCACCCACATGTCAAAGGCTTATTCTTCAGAAAGTACAACGAATTTGTAGCGGTTAAATTTTTCGTTCCAAGGCTAATGTCTTCTTGCGAAAAACAGCACCTGCAGGCTTTTTGAAACGATGTACGGACGGGTTTGAAAATTGTTATCTGTTACTTTTTTCTCAGCTAACCTTTATAGATTCGGGGAAAATTTGTTTCTCTGTTACATTTTGCTTGACAGCTAGAGCTGTACTGAGAGGAGATGGTCGTTAGAAAATGCTGGACTCTTCTCTTTTTGCTTTCACGCCTATACATCATCGGTTAAAATTTTCCATATATTCTGCTACTGTTTATAGCATTCACTCTAGTCTCATTAGTGATGCTTTAAACATTTTAACTTTTTTCATTGGTGTGCTAGAAAAAGAGAGGTTTTTTATTTCTGTTATCCCTTGAAGTAGTACATTATTCAGATATTAATTTCACCCTGAGACTGGTTGAGTTATTTCTTAGTTTTTGTGTGAAATTTTAATTCCAAACGAAACCGTAAATATTCAAGGTCCAGTATCTTATTTTACTACTTAACTATTTACCATTTATTTAATAACTTGTTAAATGTTTATTTATCTCTTTACATTTTTATTAAACTTTACTTTTAATTATTCTAATCATTAATAATGTAATTATTTCAATACTTAATTAAAAATTATTAATTATTTCATTAGCTATTTTTATTTGTTTATTC